TTCCCCCGCCCCAGCCCTATATGTATATGCATATATATATATATATATATATATATATATATACATATGCCAACCATTGCTACTGTATCGTTGGAATGGCTCGCAATCGCCCCTTGTTTAATCCCCTGAAGGTTGGTTAGTGACTTGCAAAAACCGTGGCTCGGTGTTAAAAAAACTGGAAAAATAGAAAAAGGATCATCAGCAGACAATTTCGAATTCACTCCTGCTATAAGTTTCGATAAATGCATGCTGCCGAAATATCAACGCATCCATATCTCCATTCTCCTGTTTTTTCTTCTTCGGGCAATGAAGCTATTGCTGCCTTCTAAAGGCAAAACCCCAGATGTTTATTTTTGGCCATTTCGCATTTTCGGGTCATTCAATTGATCTTCTGAAGCTGAATTCGGTCATCTAACTCATTTCTGCAATTTTAACACGTTTTAGCTACGGAAAAGGCTAAAAGTTTGTGAAAATTTGAACCAATGGTTTCAATAAACCATTGGTTTATTGAAGTTTTCATTGTTTGACCCGACTGAAAAGGAAAGGCCAGCTGGCAACTGGTCAACGAGGTTCAACCCAGACCCGAGGCGGCCGTGTCGCAGCATTGTGTGGCACGTAAAACCCTCCGCATCCCTGTCTGGCGAAAGGGCGGAGGCAAAATTAGCTGTGGAACTGGAAGGCACGCTTGGGTGGTGGGTTCGGGGTACACGCAACAAGCTATGCTTAGCAGGTACTCTGAATCCGAAGTCACCCTTACAAACCATTCGGAATAAATTTATAAAAATAAAAATAACTGAATTCAGTATGAGGGAGCGAATCGAGTGACTTCAGACACTTAAAATGGCCAAAAATGAACATTTGGGGTTTGACTGTGGACCACGGATTACTACATCTATGTGCGCAATGCTCCAAGCAAACGCACATAACAACCTACGCAAAAGCACACTTCCGTACACTTGCAAGAACTCCAAACGTGGGCCCATTTCATTTCACCGCAAGCTACCATGGTGCGTCCTGCACCAAGCTTGTAAGCTTAGAGATACTAACCTGGATGAAAAGCCAAAAGAGACGCATGCTTTCGGCCGGAAAATGCCCCAGGGACCTAATTATGCTGACATTCGTTTGCGCCCAAAACATACAGCGTTATGAGAACAAAGCACTGCAGTTAACACCTGAACTAGCATGGGTGTGGGTGTGGGCGGGGTGTCAGCCGTCGTTCATGACACTGCTGTAGACTAAATTCCCAGAGTCGCGTAAAATCGTTACGGGAACCACACGAGCATCAGTACTAACCAGATAACGGTAGCATATATATATATATATATATATATATATATATATATATACATATATATATATATTTTCTAAGACATTACGCGAGCGCATATCCTAGAAAGAAGTGGCATACTTTGCAGCCTTAAGTTTAAATACCAGCGTCGATTCTCTCTGCCATTGCTGAACGGGGGAGGCACTTTGGTAACCTTTTTATGGAAAATTCTGTAAAATGCGTCGCTGGCTGCATAAGGTGCTCATGCGACTATAAAGCTTTTATTCAAACCGATGTTGGTTGCGCCAAAACAAAAAAGCCACAGCATCCAGCACAATGTTAATGGGGTAAATGGGCATAAGCCGCAAACGCCGAAAGCTTTTCTTGGCGTGTTACTGCGAGTTGTGTAATTTTAGTTTCAGTCGTACTGATCTGAAACCACGGTCACACATTATTTCCTCTCCGGACTAAGGGTTGCTTTCGATGTAAGTCACTTGGCACGCCACACACGTTGCAAACATTTGTGCAGGTGCTGCAGTTCTGTGCACGATTGCAAGCGGCGACTTACAAATGATGTGCAATAGCTCGTTAATGCACGCCATCTGCTTTCTCCACCAATGACTTGCGTTCACGGCGATTGTACAGCGGTGATTGGTGCTACTCGATCATTCGAAGCCCCACAAACCCACTAAGACGGAAGAGTGCTCGTTTTAGTTGTACCCTACAAATCAATGGAAAGTAGCTGTCCACATGGACGCTGCGACGTCATGTTTTTGTGTGAATAAGTTTTTAAGGAAATGCATGAGGTTTGTCGCCCATGATCTTCATGTGAACCGGTACGCTCTACATTAGAAAAAATATAAAACAACTTAGGCCAGCAAACACCGGCAAATAATATGACGCACAAATCGGCCGCAAACGCTAAAAACAACAACGTGATCTGAGCGCGGCTTTTAAAAACCGTGTAAAATGGAAATTTGAATTCACGTGCCGCATTTCGTTGATGTTCCCATGCATTCCTAACCAACGCTACACTCTACCGCATCAAGCCGTGTCAATGATAACGAACACAAAACTCCAAGAGCCTGTCTGTTGTGACGTCAAATGTATGATTATGAACGATGCATCAGAATGAATGGTTGCGCTAAAGGTCAGATGACTTCAGAGGGCAGGACGAGCCGTACCGAACATTACGACACGTTTTCGCCTCAAATGTTTGTAGTCGATCCGGAATTTTACAACCTGTGCGGTTAGTGTTCACGCAACACACACTACTTAGCGTGGGCGCTAATCACAGACATCCATCTAATTAAAATGTTCGGACGAAACCTCCAGAACGTGTTTATAAATTTGTCCCTTTCCAGCATCCAACAACGGATGGTCTGATAAATTATGATGGCATATACAGCATTTACGCCGTTACTTTTCATGCGCGGCTCCAAAGACCCAGGAAGGTGACCTGTATCACACTCGTGTAGTATCAGGGGATCTATGCCATTATGTCATCATGTCATGTATTTACCAAGAATCGTTCCATGTGTATGGCTTCATATTTTATTCGAGTCAGTGAGTGATAAAAACGAAGATACGACGATGAAGACACGTCAAGAGCTTCAGAAGGGCCCGCAGAGTAAAAAAACAAACAAAACAAACTATTTCACATTGGTCAAGTTAGAATGTGAGGGCAGCACGGCTCCGGGAGGTCAAAGCAGCCGGCGGCAGGTGGTTCCAGGACGAGGTCGCACAATATGGAAACACTTTAAGCGACAGACAGCCGGAAAGCGGGCAGCTCCAAAGCGTGCTACTTCCTTATCACTTCTTGCATTTCTAATCCATGCGACGAATGAAAATCTTAAGCCACTTAGCTGACCCACAGCAGCTCCCTCTACCTTTCAGTGGACTTCCAGCCGCGTGCGTGCACTTGTCTTGGGATAAGAGCGACAAATTAGCTTCGTTTGCATATTGTTGAAGACTTTAACGATCGTCAGAAAGGTTTATTCAAGGGCTTACGGCATAATTAGACTAATGCAGATGCTATACTAAATGGTGGAGAGGTACGTATGTCATATTTACTGCAAAACGTGCGGTGCTTACTTGCAATGGATTTCGCGATGGCATGACATTTTTCCGAGATATCGGTAGGCGCATGCTGCATTAGTTTTGCGTGAGGCATGTTGTAGCAGTGATCCAATGTGCCGACAATATGACACTGACTGACTTTTTATCAATAGCTGACTAACATCGTTGACATGACTTACTGTTAACCCGAAAAAGTTGTCAAGTACATAACCTATGTAGACCCATGATTTCCATCTGAACAACCGAAACTGAGGTGGTGGTAGTCGTAAAAACAACATTGATTGGAAGAAAGGGCAGGCATATGCCATGTTGCGATCATTATGGATTACAAAATGGCATAGACGAGTGCAATTGGTCTACATGTCGTAGCGCATTCAGCTTGCTTACGACGCAATTTATTGTAAGATGAAAAAAAAAGCATACGAACAATTTCTCCCACGATGTGACACAATTTAACCCAGAGTGGGGTAGGTTGTCTCATCCGAAGGAAGATCATTCAAAAGTCATTTGCCAAAAAATGATGGCGTGCTCTCCAAAACTTTACCGCCACCTGTGAAGCTGAATGTTAGAAGTTCCTGCTGATATGCGAATCTTAGTCTAATCCTCTAATGATAACGGGAAGGGGTTCAGAGCAGATCTGATGCAAATCTCCCCACTCTCCCCCACTAAGTTTCACTGAAGATGAGTGTGGGACATGTATCTCAAAGCGTGCCTCTTTGCGTAAGAAGAACCCACATATTCGACTCCAACATGACTCGAAATTATTTTTTCGACACAAAGCAAGGCAAGATGCAAACAAAACAAAGCATGAGACAAGGCAGGGACGGAAACAAAGCAAGGGAAGAGGCACAGCTAGGGAAGGTAGTGCGTAAGGGATGACACGGAGCATGTTAGTTTTATTAGTAAGAACATTGAAGGGGGCAAAAAAATGATTTAAAAAAGTCGGAGAGAACATGGCACAGCCCCGGTTTTTACACCAAAGGGATGGATGTTTCCCCTTGCCCTCGTTCAAAGCCATTGTCATTTCCCTGAACGTCACTTTTTTTTTACCTACCAACATAGGAAACATGCGCTCCTTTATTGCTGATACTTTGTACTTTCTGTGTCACCTTTGTTTGATTACCAGCATGCCACCTTTGCTTGATACTCGCATCATTCGCTCCTAGTGCAATTAAGATAATTTTTTCTAAATTTTGAGTTTAAACGTCTTGATGGACTGGATTTCTGAGATCAACGCCCCCACTAAGCAGTGCTTATCGCAGGAGCGCTGATTCCACGATCCGATCCAAAATTTGGTGTCAACAACATAATGCTGAGTGAAGCCCGACGTGTTACAAGGCTCGACACGGAGGATCCTGCCCTCTGACGTCACCGGACCTTTAACGCGCCCGCTGCCCTCGGCCACAGGTCATATCAGTTGGGGGCAAATAGCACATTGCCTACAGCAACTCGGAGCGGGTGAATCGGAAAGCTGGCACGCTCAACAGCTGAGCTCACGGGACGGGCAGGTATTGACAGGTATATATAAGGCGTTGACGGAAATGTACGCCGGTCCCATCTAAGAACAAACATTCAAACGGAGTTCCTCTCTTCGAAAATCCCAGAAATGAGACGGCATGAAACGCAGCACGGCAACATTGCAAGCGCCACCTACCTGAGACTTAGGGCTGTGTAGACTGCCATCTGCTGGCTTTATCCGGAACGTCTCCTCCTGAATCTCGGGCAGTATGTCCGGATCGTTGTCCAAGCCGCTGGAGCAGAACAAATGAACGGCTTTCAGCAGCACGTTATGATCATTTCCAACGATAAGTGACTGGTCATCCAGCGCATCGTTGCTAAACGACCGCGTGGACAGTGGCCATAAATCTGCATGGGTTATGGCCCTGCAAAGTACCACAGAAATCAGCCGCGATGAACGTAATGATTCTAAGTTAGATTACACATAATGGGCAGTTCGAAGCAAACGCTCCGCAGCTCCAGAAACCGGCTCGCAGTGATCATGCCTGCTGTGGAACGACGTCCGCCTGAGCATTACACGGCGCGGTCATGCTATCTCAACATCAGCATAACGCCAGCCGGAAACAAGTGGTTTGTAGCGCGGTAGCCGCCTTGGGTATCTCGCTGTGGCCTGGCAGCAGAAGTGCAAGAACTATAGTTTGCAAACTTGGTGACGCTTAGGCGGCATGATGGGTACGGATAAATACACGTTTAAGTCTTGTTCGTTTAAGTATGTCTTGCCGTGTCTTGCAAGACAAATTTGGCGCCATTTGTGCCAACTATCGACGCCTCACACCCGTGCTAGTCCATTTTATTTTCATCGTGATTTCACCGTCACGTTATGTTTCCATCAATGTATCCTCTCGTCCCTTCAGATCCCCATAAATGACTGTATGCATGCCACATGACCAATGACGCCACGGTTGGACACCACGCAGGCCTCTACTTTGTTCAATATCAATATTTCACGTCGGGTCGAATTGCCGTGTATGAAGCGGATGGGCTTGATTATGAGAAGACATCTGGTGACAGCCGTGTACGGGAGAACGACCGTGACCTGAGTGTGACCTGAGACCTGAGACCGGAGACCTGACCTGAGAGTGAGGGAAACGCCACCGGTCAGCCCCACCGAATGGGAGCACGCGACCTCGCTGACCGCCGACCTCTACCGACCCACTGAGAGGCACCGGGTCACAGGCAGGCGGAACCCGGCAGGGACCGTCCCCCCAGGCCGCTGCCACCACCAGCTGCTGCACGACGCAGTGGTGATACATCCGTGATGGACGGCTGTGGAGCACCGAGGACGCATCGAACTCACTAAGTAGGCCGTCTCATTAGCCGGCGGCGGACGCCGTGCCTGACGACATGAGCTGAAGTAGCGGAGAGGGCGTCCAAGTGCGGATGCGGTGGGGTGGGGAGGGGGGGGGGGGTATACCGTTCGGAAGTGAGCCTCCGAACCTGGGCGTGACCTGACGGCCCTGCGGGCGCCGGCCGGCTCCCGTCGTTCGCGCGTCCCCCGCAACCCCGGTCTCGGTTCTGCGACCCGCTGGCTGGGCAAGGCTCGCCCACCCGCGACGTTACGTGACAACGCTCCTGCCGCAGTGAACTGTTCACTGTTCAACCGCAGTGACTGGTGGCCTTTCCGTTGGTAGACGGTTTGGATTGTTGTGTTGGACGGTTCTGTCCGTTGGTTCCGTTGGTACGATGGCAGTAGCGTGCACGATGAGGAACAGGCCTGAAACTTGAATGTTTCTGGACTTCTATTTCCATGTGTGCGAGGATTAAAGTACACATGGAAATTCACGTACTATTCGCCTTGTGCTCCTTCGCGCATTGCTCGTTATGCGGATACCAATGATGGCGGATCAAGCGGTGGCTGGGCCTTTGAGCTTAGTATTAGGGAAGCAAGCTTGACCAACAAATGCAACGGCTCGGGAGGCAAAGACGAAGCAGATGTGGGGCAGGGTGTCTAAGTGGCACCAGCAACGGTGAAGTTGGGGATCAAGATCAACATATCATCAGCCATGTTGACCCCAATAGAGGTGACGCCAGGCCTGAGGTCGCCACCACCACCGCCAGAGCACTGACCAGAAACATCCACGCTTCGACATAAATAAGCCAGGGAACCAAGCCGTGGCGACCAAATTATATCACGGCGGAACTATCAACGGCTAACGCAGCACCGCTGGGCAGACCAGCTGGCCGGCAGCTTCGGCTCCAGACGGCAGCTGCCGCACCGCGCGTTTGCGGAGCAGCACCGCCGGGCAGGCCAGCTGGCCGGCAGCCTCGGCTCCGGAGGGCAGCTGCCGCACCGCGCGGATGCGGAGCAGCACCGCCGGGCGGGCCAGCTGGCCGGCAGCTTCGGCTCCGGAGGGCAGCTGCCGCACCGCGCGGATGCGGAGCAGCACCGCCGGGCGGGCCAGCTGACTGGCAGCTTCGGCTCCGGACGGCAGCCGCCGCACCGCGCGTTTGCGGAGCAACACCGCCGGGCGGGCCAGCTGGCCGGCAGCCTCGGCTCCGGAGGGCAGCTGCCGCACCCGCGCGGATGCGGTAGCAGCACCGCCGGGCGGGCCAGCTGGCCGGCAGCTTCGGCTCCGGAGGGCAGCTGCCGCACCGCGCGGATGCGGAGCAGCACCGCCGGGCGGGCCAGCTGGCCGGCAGCTTCGGCTCCGGAGGGCAGCTGCCGCACCGCGCGGATGCGGAGCAGCACCCTGATGCCCGGCCAGAAGCCGGCCGTCGGCGGACTCCCCCAGCAGGGGCAGCCCCAGTCGAGAGTCCGCGCGGGCCGAGGGGCGGCCCCCAGTCGGAGCAGGAGCGGCCAAACACGGCCGAGAGTCCAGCCGCAGCCGACGGGCTACTGCAGCGGGCCCGTGCTTCGAGAGCGGTCGTTAACTTCCGTTAGAGCACGAGGCCGCGTGGGGGAGAATCGTGCACGAGATCGGGTGTGCAGCTTTAGGTTTGTGGCCGCGGAGCCCGACGCCAAACATCATCGGCTTAGCCCGCACCAGACAGTGGAAGCTAGTCCAGAACGCATGCCAAGGGAGCGTAGCCATAAAGTGCCTGAGAGGGAGTTGGTAACATGGAACGATCTGCCTTATCCTAAGCATGAAACGGAAATGATTAACATCCAGACAAAGTGCGAGGCATCTTAGCGTGTGAAATTCACGTCTGAAGTACTCTTATTTCCGTGACCACAGCCCTCAGAAGTCCGTGGCCATGGTTTCACGCGTTAAAAATCCTATCTTGCTTGAACCTGCGTATGTTCAGATTAAGCTGAACACACTAGAGACAGCACGGTGAGCAGGACAAACAGCGTGCTTCTATCTCTGAAATCAGGTGAGTTCACTAGTAAGATGACGTGTCTTGTTTGAAGCTGTGCGGGTTCAGATTGTGCGGAGCGCATTGGAGGTGGTAAGGTGAGCAGGACAAAACAGCGCGCTTCTATCTCTGGAATCAGCCAAGCTCATTAGTGCGATGGCACATTTGAACATTGAAATGACGTCACACGCAATTGGAAAGCATGTAAACGGCATTACAAACACAAAGGCACAATATTTGTGCAGTCACCTACACCCAGCGTTTGTACGGCACGACTAACTGCGCTCCACTCTGCTTTTTATGTTGAAAAATGTTGCACCAGCACACAGGGAGCCCATCATGTGACTGGCCGCAGAAAGGCTGCGGTTGAGTGAAATGTGATCGGGCCAACAAACGCTCAGTTAGCGTGACGGATTGTGTGCATGCGTGTGAGCTTGTGCGAACATAAATCCTTGTTTTCTACGCCGTGTGACCATTTCGAATCACTTGGTTGCATGCATGCATTTCCAGTACTGCCTTGCCAGACGGAAGGGACCATGAGCTGTCCGCTAAGCCACCGTACAAAACAGGCTGGAAAACACAGAAACCTAACAGGTAAATGCCTCCGCAGACCCCAAAATGCCTCCATTGGAAATCTAATCGTGGAATTTTGTTTCTCATTGGAATTGATGCCGTAACGCATGAAGAGCTTTAAGAACCAGGACAGCCTGCAGGCCGAATGGAAGGGATGAGTTGGGTGGAAACATTGTGCACTACGAGAAAGAAACGTGCATGTATATAGAGAAACGAGGATATTTACAACACTTCCAAAAGTTCCACGTATTAAGAAATGATCAAGCCCTCGTCTCCACCCCCCCCCCCCCCCTCCCCCTCCCCACATCCACTTCGGTTCGCCGGGCTTACCCTCTCAATGAAAGTTCCTTCATACATGTCCTGGAGCAGCCCAAAGACCATAAACTTGCCCTTGAAATGTCGTCAAGCCGGCGACACCGACGCCAGATACATGCGGTGCTGTTCTCAACTCATCGACGACGCAGTATAAAAAGGAAAGAGTAAAGATATTTTGTATCGTCATCTGCCAGCTAAGAGAATGCAACGTAATTTTGACGCGTTAGCTCAAGGCGTGCTGAAATACCACGGAGCAGGTAGTTTTTTGTTGTTGTCACAGCATTAGTTACTAATTGAGGAGACTGTTTCTAGCTGTCGGTATGCATCTGGCAATGGGGTATCATGCATAGATTGCACACCATGGTCCGGGTTCTGTATAGGAAAACCACCATGGTGTTGTTGAATGAACCGTCTAGCACTCTGAACGCCAAGTGATCGCAACGGTGGCAGTTAAAAGGAACCACAGTTGTCTGATAGAATTTCTGTGGGAAGCTTATTTGGCACTGGTACGCATCAGGGACGAAGGTAAGGAGGGGTCCACAACAGCCGTACCACCCCCTGAGCCGAGAAGCTTTTACTTGATCCTGAGTGATTTCGCAGGTATTCTGTTCTAATCCGCAGTGATTCGGAGAAAACGTGACATTGCCCCGCCCCTCCCGAGTAAGATGCTGACTGCGTGCTGGGCACATTATTGCGTATGTTTGAGTACATGCTGCGTCGCGAGGAATCGAATGGTCCGCGGTCAGCACCGCGACGCGGCGAGCAACGTGCAATGCCATCATAGGCGACGGCTGCGGCAGCCATTTTCGTGAAGTTTCAACGCAGTTTGAGTGCAGCTCAACATTGGAAATGTTTATCTCCTTCCTCCTCCATTTGAATCGAGCTGATGAATCTCCTTCCGGAACGAACTAACGGCCGCACTCTGATGCGATTTGACGTCGCGCTAATGGCTGGTTACGTGAGTGGATCGATTCGAACACAGGCCAAGCGCCATTTCGAATGGACGCTGCCCGCAGAGAGGTGATAGCTGTACTTGTCACTTCCGCGTCAATTCAGAACGGGATGTCGTCCGTGGCTGCCCGGGCGTCATCGCCAGAGACTCCTTCCCGCCGCTCTGACGAACCAGCTTCCGCCCGACAACCGCAGGCTTACCAGGAGCCGCAGAATCTGATGAGTGCCAGCATGTCCCTCCGAGCCTCGCGGGTGACCAGCGGGATGAATGCACACCTGGTGAGCGCTCTGGGCGGGCGTCCGGCGCGGGCACATGGTCACCGGCGTCCGCGCATGTCACCAGACGCGCTTCCAGCAGCTGGCAGCCGCGCTGCGGGTCGGTTAGCGCTCGTCGCCGCGGTCAGGTCACCGGTCACCCCGCCGCCGTCGAGGTCGAAGGTCACGTCAACCCGCCGCCGTCGGAGTCGAAGGTCACGCGACCTTCTCGCAAGCCGCAAATCGACCTGCCCTGCGCTCGGCGACGCGCCGCCCTGCCGCCAAAGGTCGTCTTCGAGTCGGATGTTGATTGGACGCTGGCGGCGACGGCGTGCGACGGACTCTTAGCCCGCTGGCACCGTGCACCCGTGACCTTAGGTCACGCGACAGCGCCCGACACTGACGAGCGCACAGCCACCCGCGACAAACGCGCCCGGAGACTCGGCTCCGCCCGACGCCGGCGGAGACTGCGGCCGATATTCAGCGCAGGCCGTTCCCGCAGACCTGCCGACAGGGGCGCGCCCAGGAGTCGGCTCCCGAGGGAGCAGCGCCGGCCAGAGGCGGAGGCAGGCCGGGTTGGGGGAAGGCAGATTTGTAAGTGGGGGCAGGGAGGGTTCTGGTGGATGGCCTGCATGAGTGGTCAAAGGCGTGAGCGATTTATTTGTGCAGGTAGGCATGAACTGAGCAGAACAATCCGGCATTTCATGCTGGTATCTGTCGATGAAGACAGCGGGTTCGACGGCAATTCCCACATTAAACGCACCTGTTAAAACCGAACCACAAGAGCGGAACAGTCGTAGCAGAGCCGTAAGCTGCCACTGAGACAAGGATGAGGTCCAATAAAAACACACCGTTCGACGATAGCCGAAACGACACTCCACAGGTCCAACACAACGACATTCCAACAGATCTAACACAACGGCCTCCTACAGACCTGTCCAAAGGCGGGTTTACACGATCCACGTCCTAAAAGTCAGGACGGGTACTTATCATGCGAGGATCTACCAGGCGTGACGCTTCCATCTGCCCTGACCGGCCCCAGTCGTGGCCCAAGCGTGGCCCCAGTCGTGGCCCCAGTCGTGGCTTTGGCCGTGTCCCAGTCGTGGCTCCAGCAGCAGCCCCAGCGTTGCCCCAGTCATAGCCCCAGTCGTGGCTCTGGTCGTGCCCCAGTCGTGGCCCCAGTAGCAGCCCCGGGCGGCCCCAGCCATGGCCCCAGCCGTGGTCCCAGCCGCAGCGCTGGTCGTGACTCAAGTCGCGACCAGTTAATCCGGGCAAGGGCATTACGCTCGATTGTTCGGGCGAACAAAGAGCGCGCCGAGCTGTGGCGAGCCCGGGCCTGCCGCCGCGCGCGACCGCTTTTCACTGTCGAGATCGCCTGAGGCCTGCGCCCGTCCTCAGGATCCGCAGCTGCGCTGGTCTGCGCCGGATCGCGGGGCAGCTGGCTCAAGACTGGCGGGGTCGTTTGCGGCCTGAGTTGGACAAGAGCTCTCCAATGTCAGGAGACTGAGGCGCAGCGAGCGGTTCGCCAGGTGCTGCCGTCCAGATAATGCCGGATGGCTCTCCGTGCGTCATGCCTAGGCCAAGTCTCAGATTCTCCTTAACGATATTGTCAAGAGTGGCTGGTGTTCCGACTGGTCTCAGAGCGGCGCTAGGTGTGCACTGAATCCAAACTCCTGGATTAGTGCAAAGCGCTGTAAGCTTCGTGCAAGGTAATGTCACGGGCTCACTTCACTTCTTGACGTTTTATCCTCTACGGCCAATTCACGTTGTATGCGTGATATCGGAGGGACAGGGAAGATGAGGCCCGGAAACCCCGCCCCTCTCCCCCTCCCCCTTAGGCTTACATATTTATTTCAACGCCGCAGATGGTGTACCTCAAACAGAAAACCCCCTATAGAAACGAAGACATTAGTATTTGCGTTCGATTAAAAAATACAGTGGGATCCATCGCCGCAGAACGAAAAGCCCAAACGAGTCAAATTTGCAAAATTCTTCAGCTTTCTTATGATGCTTCTAACCAAGCTGCGCGCTCTGGTATTTCAGAACCCTAGCGGCGCCCCTGAGGGGCATGGTATCAGCAAATCCTCCCGGTACCTTTTTATGGGTGTCATCGGTCCTCTCGCTATGCACTCTGCCGGATGACGATGTCGATAGCGTGTGGCGCCACACGAGTGACAAGTATGAATTCATGTACCCGTGTTCCCGTCGCCACGACCGGCGCTTTATCGTTGGACCCGTAATGGAGATGTCCGTGTTCCATGCAAGCCAGATCGCTGTTGACAACCCATTTCCAGGTCTGGTCCGCGCTTCCTTGCTGCCGGCTGGAGTAATCGCGCTTGCCTGGCAGAAATAACCGCGGACGTCTGATGCGCCGCTTTACAAGGAGATAACACGACAGCGTCCTCTCGCGGCTCCATTACTTGTCGGTGCTCATTATCTTCCGGTTGGGGTACGCGCTGATCCGGCGGGACGCGAGCAGAATAGCGATTTGTTTGGCGCCGTCTATCTTTGCAGACTCTCTTTGCAGAAGTCTTTCGGTGTGTTGGGAACTTTGGTGGCCGGTTCAGGACACTTCTCTGGCCTCGTGACCAACTAGTAATGTGGCGATGCAATAATCATTGTACTAGCATGCAAAAGGCCGTTTATGTCAATATCATGACCACACCCTTCAGTTTACTGTATAAGCGCTGGCAGTAACGAGTCATGATTTGCCGGGACTCAGACATCAATATATATATATATATATATATATATATATATATATATATATATATGAAATGGAATGAACACTTCCTAGCAACCTACATACGCATTAGTTCTCACATACGGCATTCACCACGGCCATGCCGAGGCAACCACATACATGTGTTTAAACACCGGGAGGTATTCAGACTTAACCTTGCAACCTAGTATTTCAAGCTTACCCAAGCCATCAAACGGTTTTTGTCAATGAAAATGAAGCCTCGTCACGTGTAATCGGACCCCTCAGCGCTCTGGACCTCGGGCAGAGACGGGTCACCGCACACCTAACGCCCCTAGGCACGGCTTCTGGAGCGCAGGCCGCGGGCCCTCGACCCTCACGCCTCACTGGGCAGCCCTCTCGTCTCACGTGCCACCCCATCATGCCTCTCGCATCACCCCTACACGTCGCGCGTCAACCCTCATATCCCGCGCGCCAACCACCACGCCTCACATGTTACCCCCTAAGCATCACACGTCACCCCCTACGCCTCACGCATCATCCCCACGTCTCGGCTCTCACGCCTCACAGGTCGACCATTACGCCCCACGCCTCACGCATTACCGCCTCATGCCTCATTCCTCTCGCACCAGCCCTCACATCTCACGCGTCAGCCCTCACGCCTCACGCCGCCGCCGCGGCGGAGCGCGGACGCCGAGCGGGAGCCGAGCGGGAGTCGCCGTCGGCGCGGCCCCAGTAACGGGTGTTATGGGGGCGGCGCGGCTGGCGCGGTCGGGAGCGCGCCGCCGACCGTAGCGGGCCCCGTGACCAGCATGCATATGCACACGAGCGCACAGCACGGCAGCCGTGGGACCGGCGCGCCGCGCCACTGGCGGCTGCCCTGGGGGGGGGGGGGGGGGGGGCGTGGCCTTAGTGACGTTGGAGGAACGTGTTCTCACGATGTAGCCAATGTTTTGTTTTGGAATAGAGGGTACGTACATAAATCAAGTTACGCATGGAGGGGGTTGGGCAGATGGAGCACAACGGAAGCGTTACAAGGAGGGTGGGGGGTGAGGATGGGTGTGGGGAGGTGTGCAGCGTAACGTTACACACAGGTGTGTTTGCAAATAATGCTGCAAACACTCAGAAGCAAATCAAAGCCTAAAAGCCCAAAATTGCTGGCTTCCTCTCATGACAGGGAACACAACCTGTAAACTGTGAAGCATCTCTAGCTCAAATGAGGGGCCGAATGGACGTTACTCTTTTGGGGATGTTACGGCCTAACACACGCAACCAGAGGGATGGTAGTCTCCGGCATAACCAGTGGGTACCAGGGGAGAGATGGATTAGGAAATGACTACAACATACGTAACGAAATTTATGGACTCCCCGGAGGACGGTTTTGAAAATGTTGGCTCTTCGACGTGCGTACTTGTGAATAAATTATCACCATTAATCGAATTATTAAATAATCCGTTACGTTTATCACCACTCACATGCAATTATCACATGATCTCCCGTTATAGTGAACCAATATGCTGAGCAACGACGCCAAAAAGAAGCAAATCTTGACAGAAAATCCAAAAACTCCTGTCAACTAACAGTTGGCGATACATTAAGACCACCGTCCAACAGCTGAATTCCAACGGTCCCCTCCTGAACACATAACCGCACATGCCTCACAGTCGCATCAGGAAGATCGCAGATCTGTAAGATCGTCGGCATACATCCTGCGTGGACCTTTGCAACGCTGCCCCTTCCCGCGACCTACATGCGTCTGGCTTCATTGGTACTTTCATCCGATGACCTGTCAGTGCTGTTGGCAGAACCCACAAAGCGTGAAATTTATTTGGTTTGGTTGCAGGATGACCTGAAAGTCGCGAGCGCGAGGAAATTGATTGCCTATGAAGCCAACGGTAAGCCCAGCTGTTCTCAAAGCCCTTTTCCTCGTGTCGTGTTTCGATCCTATCAGTGATTTCCAAGTCACGAGCCGGGGCATACATGATTCTGGCATCGCTGAAACGAATCGAAATATGCGCATTTTCAAGGATGAAACAAGGTCAAACATGCCAACCAGCGCCGCATGAAATGGTATAGTAATGAGAAGGATGGGGCAGTGGAGATGCCGTCTACAACTTGGATACTAACCAATGCCCGAAGGGGGCGGCGTTTACCAGGCTCCCTGAGTTTGCCTCGAATAAGTTGATGACCACTGAAAATCTCTCGCTGTTTTTAAGAAGGTGACTTGATAATTTTACCGGTCCTATTCATTTTGAACACTATTTTCCGAATGGGTGGGACCTATGATTCATTTTTCAATGTCATATCATACAGATTTATTAACATATTAACAGCGTAGTTGACTTGTTGATGATTGGGACACGCTGCTTGTCTGTTTTTGAAAGCCAATCTGCTTTGGTGTTCGTGATGCAGGCCTAATTTGTAAAAACACATGCTTTTGGTGTTC